TTATTATTGTGATTATTATTATTATTATTATTATTATTGTATTGCAACAATGATGGTATGCCTTTCATCGACACAATCATTATCATAGTAGTATTATCACCACACAACTAGGAGCGGGTACCCGGTGCTATTCCGGTGAGTCCAGTTCTGATTCCCGGCCGTCCCGGTTCAAACCTCGTATGTGCACATACTGGATACTCTGTGGATTCAGCGGCTGGATGGGATCGGCTGAGTTGGCAAACCAAGAGCGGGAGAAAAATGATCTAAAAAAAAAAAAAGGATCCGAAAAAAAGTGAATGTTACATGACGTCGCAGAAAGATGATTCACAGTCATGTATATTGTCGGTGTCTCAAGCAAGCCATTTCAGTCCGTTTGGGTATTTTTTTACACCTGCTAAAAATTGTTGTGTTATTCCTATGAGGAATCCTTAAAAGCAAGAAAGTTGTGAGCCTTGACCAAAAGCGTTAAAGTACGTTTTGGTGATACTGAAAGGTACACATTTGACAGAGATTTGGGAGGTTGTAAAAATCGTAAATTCTCAAACTTTAGACTTGAGTGTATTGTGACACCAACGATGATTATCGTTTATATGAAAATAGATTATGATGATTCGTAGCGTTATCACAACATACTTAACAAAAGTCTTCCCAAACGTGGAACATGCAGATAGACAAATCAATGTGCCTAAGTCGTGGGCACACACACACACACACACACACACACACACACACACACACACACACACACACACACACACACGCATACAGACATCCACAGACAGACTAGCAGATGGACAGACAAACAGAAAAAGAAGCTATCACAAACAGCTCATCGTTCAATCCCCATGTAGAAGCGAATCAATGTACGTACAAATTAAATGTTTTATTGCCAAACAGTCATCGGAGCATACTCACACGCACGCACTGGCGCGCACGCACAGGCACGCACACACAGACGTTTTCAAGCACACATGCGTATGCATACACCACTACATTTATACTTACAAACGTCTGCCCGTCCATCCATCAATCCATGCATATACTCATCCATCCATTAAGCTGGTCACCTGTCCTTCAGCCCACCCACATGAACGTACATGCATGAATGCACACATACAAGCACGCATACGTTCTTACGTACATACATACGAACATACACACATACATACACACAAAAACGATATAACTGGGCTGCCCAGCTGCACTGTAGCAACACCATCCTACGAAACAATTCAGATAGCACCGATAACCCTGTTATATTTATAGATATCCCAAACCCGCACAAATCATTAATTCATTTAGATGGCCTGGAAACCTCACCAGATGTGCATGAATTCTATATTTGTTGATATCCCACAACTCACCTGGCAAATAAACCTTCCACCTCCTCAAGCGTGCGACCCTTTGTCTCAGGTAAAATGATCGCCAGAAATATGGCTCCTGCAAACGCCAAACAGGCATACAGCCAGAAGGTTCCTGATGAAAAACAAATTTATTGGTTTTGAACATAAAACGGAGAAAATCAATGAGTCTCTCTCTCCCTCCTTCCCCCC